AAGTTGCAACGGGGCAACCCTCAAATGGTTCATCATGACCACATTGAAATCAGAAAAAGGAAAACGTATACCCAACCCGGTGAAAAAGGCATTTAATGACGGAACTGCATTTAATGATCATGTTCTTTATTACTCTTTGGTAAAACCAAAGTGATGCGTGCCTGCTAACACACAAACAACTATTCCTGAGGGCTGACCACAACTGCTAAGAGACTCATTCACCATCTAGAGTGTCTGACGAGTCTTTGAGGCAACTGTTTCGTGTCGGCCAAATGGCCAATAAGATAAGGTATACTTATTCTACCTACTCCATTGAGTCCAAGGTAAAAATGCCTTCATAGAGGGTTTTCAAGTGCAGAGCATTTAATCTTCATTTTCACTACAGTTAATTGACTTGGGCGTTGGAGTGCTAACCATGCAGGTACCCTTATAGGTCCACCATACTATAGATAAGCAATGTCGATTCAAGATTAACTTCTTTGGTTCTAGAAGCATCAAGATCATAACCTCTGATCCAATGTGTTGCATAATAGAATCGCATACGAAGCTTCATTACGCTGTAGTTTTTGTAGTCTCATCTATTTCTGATTTCGTAATGGAACAAATAATATGGAAAATGCTATTATGTGGTTTTAAAGCACAAGTATAAAAATATTATTTAAAACAAATTATGCATTCAATTTTTAATAATAGTGAAATTTTATTTTTCAATTTTTTTGTTAACTTATGCATAAATAAGTAAAGATTCTATGATAAGCAAACTCGTTAGCTACCTGGTCAGACAGGCTCTAAAATCCATAATCCAATGTGAATTATTGACCGAGATGCAATGGTAAGCGAGCTCATTGACTAAAACCTTCTCACTTGGAGAATGGACATGCTATGAACCTGCTTTTACCCAATTGAAACAAGCCTACTTGTTAGTATTCCCTTATCATTTAGATGGCTTGAAGATAGGATAATTTGGCACAGCGAGAAGAATGGGGAGTACTCAGTCAAATTCTTCTATCGCATTTTAAGTGCAGATAGATCACACAAGAAATTGGGTCCTTATAAGTGTGTTTGGTTATGGGTAAATGGAGGGGAGGGGAGGGGAGAGGATATGTTTTATTTTAATTATAATTATATTTACATATTTATCCTTATTATTTATTTAAATATAAAATTAACTTATAACAGTGTTAAAAGTTTTATTTTGAACAAATTTAATTTTTTTTTATATTTTTTGTATTTTCATATCTTCATCTTACTATCATTATATTTGTTTAATTTTTTTTTAATTTTTTTTATATATTTTAATGTTAATTTTTAATTATCGTAATATTTTTATTTATAATAATAGGGAGATCAAAATTTTAACTTAGCCAATTATATATTATAATCGTTACGTTTTTATAAAATATTTCATGATAATCTCTGATTAAATATTTATATTTCGTCAATAAATTTATATTTGAATTATAAACGGTAAATATCACAAGTTTTATTGTAAAAGTAGAAAGATAAAAAAGTAAATTAGTTTTAAAATACCCCATTCCCCTTGTGAATCAAAGATATTTGTAAATAAAATGTCTTCACTCCCCTCCCCTCCCCTATTATATTTTGAACCAAACATATATGTAATTAAAATTCCTCTCCTTTATTCCCTTCCCCTTGATAAAAATTCCTCAACTACCCTCCCCTCGATTGAACCAAACAGACCCTAAAGCGCCCCATCAAAATTTATGGAATAATATTTAAATCTCCCTGATCGCGACTTTCTATGTCTAATACAACTTAACTGCAAGTGCACAGTCTATCGCGTAGTAATAATAGATATCGATCCCACAGGGACTCGTAATCAAACTAGTGTTCTCGGAAGTTACTATGTTTAGCTAGGTAGATAATGCTTAAGGGAATAAGATTGTCACTAAAGGGAACTAAAAATGTTATTTAAATTATAATTACGTGAATCGATATGTAGTAATTATGTTCTTCGGGGATTTGACAAGTTACCGGTATATGAAATATTTTTCAGAGTTTATTTAAGCAGAAAATAGTGATCTGAAGACTCTCGTCTCACGATGGTTATTGACGCTAATCATAATTCTAAGGGTCAAACGTACGCTTTCGTATCCCATTCGGGGTTAAAACTATTTTTTGGAAATCTCTAAGTTCTAATTCATTTTAAAGTGTTTTCGCTGTTATTAAAATGGATGACTAGTGTTTACTATCTGGTCTTGCCGCAACTTTCGCTTGTTGGTTCGTACCTTAATTAATTTCCCACTTTCGTGGCAAAACTACTTTTAAATAAGTTCTCGCTTTCGCGACGAAGTTTATTCAGTAAATTAATTTAAACACTCAGACCATAAACAACTTTTGAAAAAGATAGTTTTCAACCTGTTATTATCAAATCCCTTCCGAATTATTATTACATATCGATTACTTTGATTTAGCTAGACATGGATTTGGGAAAGGTAAAACATAAATAAAAAACAATAAATAATAGCAAGCATCATAATAAAACTGGAATTACGATTAAAATGAGAAACCTGTAAATATTCCAATTGGCCTTTGGGCAGATCCTCCACAAATGTTGGCAGGATTCTGGTCTTTGTGCCAATTGATCGTACAAGGGAAATAAGAATTACAGAATATCAAAGAAATGCAGAAAAAGAAAAGAGAAACAAATAAGAATAGAAAAACTGGAAAGGTTGCTCTGATAAATTGGCAGCACTTCGTTGTCTGAATGTGGCTCCCTTTCTCTGCTCCCCTTCTTCCCCTTTTATAGAAATGGAATTCTGACGGTTATAACTTGAAGAAGGTGGACTTTGAGGCAGAATTATCAGGGAGTAGTGGTCCATTATTTGGGACTTGGAACTGCTTCTTTCACGTGCATTTGAAGTGGGGCGTTTTTGCCTGCATGACGGTCGTCACGGTGTGTGACGGTCGTCATGGAGCTGTGACGGTCGTCACAGCAGCAAAATCTGCATTCTGCGTTTTTCATGTTGTTTTCATCCGGTTTTCGTCCATATTTCATCTGAGATTGCTTCTTTTCTTTATATTGTCTGGTTTAGACATGATCATCAAATACCTGCAAAGTATCAGACAAATAACACGGAAATAATCCGAAATCGGATCGAAAACAGTTAAACATCAATTGAATTATGCATCAAAATATATATACGATTTCGTGTTATCACCCCCCATCTAAAACATAATTAAGAACTTCATAGGGAGGATCGCAAAAAACATATTGCCAATAAAAAGCATATGGAAAAAAGTGTGAGGTTAGACACGGTCTGCAATATTTATCAATCGAATCTAGAATTTACTTAACACCTTTCTATGCACTGTGGTCTTGCCAAAATGTTATGGTTTTCTTCCCTTTTAGTATGTGAATTCATCTAACTTAGAATTACATGATTGGTTGTTACATTGGTTAAAAAATGGTAAACCCTTTGTAAAACAATTATTTCGCATTGCACTGTGGAAATCTGGTATACTAGGAATCTTTGCATGTATCAATAGAAATAGTTCATTTTGTAAGTAGTGGCAGGAGAAACACTTGAGTTTATGTTGGAATTTAACAAAGCCAACTCAAACTCATGGGTAAGGAAAAATTGATTCAGTATAGTGATAAGGAACCTCAATTCAATGGCTTCAACGTCATTCAAATGGACGAAGGTTGTTATCAAGAGGGCTTTATGAAAATGGATTACGTGATTAAGAACCATGCTAAGGATACCATCTCTGTTGCAATCAAAAGAGAAACCATTTATGAGGAACCGACATTCACTGAAGCTGTAGCAATCAGGTGCAGTCTACAACTCGTGTGTGATTTGAAACTGGATCGTGTTTTTGTTCAATCAAATGCACTTATTGTCGTTGAGCATTTATATATATATATATATATATATATATATATATATATATATATATATATATATATATATATATATATATATATATATATATATCGTTGAGCATTTATATATATATATATATATATATATATATATATATATATATATATATATATATATATATATATATATATATATATATATATATATATATATATATATATATATATATATATATATATATATATATATATATATATATATATATATATATATATATATATATATATATATATATATATATATATATATATATATATATATATATATATATATATATATATTAGTTATTTTGTTGTTTTAGAACTCATGGTTTTAGATTGTTAAATGTTTTTAAGTAATCTTACGGAGGCTACCACTACTAGAAATATTCTATTTTTCTGCGGATTTTGACTAATTTTTCGCAGAAAACGTATTACCTGCGACTCTTTCTGCTATTTTCTGTTCCCAGCTAAAATCTTCGTGGATAATTTAATTAGCAGGTAAAGTCGCAGGAAAAAGTCGCAGGTAATAGTCGCAGGTAAAGTAGATAAATTCGCAGATAACACCGCTGGTAATTTAAACTTTCGTAGAAAAAGTCACAGCAAATACGAAAGTCGCAGGTAAACTCACAAGTAATTTCTCTCTTAGATTTTTTATTTTTATCATTAATTGTGTTTAATGCATATTTAAAATATTATAATAATTGTTAAATATCAAAGTAACAATAATATAAAAATAAGAATCTAATTTGAATAAGACATGCAACACTAATCACATTCAAATTTTTAAAGCAATCAAACATTACTATATAGTTAATAACAAGTACTTATAGAGTTATATTACTAAAAATGACACAATCAAGTTACTGATAATTACTTGTCCAATCAAATTAATAAGAAAAAACAATCCAAATCAAAATTTACTACTAATGTGTTCACTAATGTCTTCATCTGATTCATCAACATCATCTTCACTTGAATTATCAGTTCCATTATTTAGCTACTGACTTCAATCTATGATGGTTCGCTGACCCTTCGCTGAGACTTCGCCACAGCGAACATTCGTTGTTAGTTCGCTGAGCAAACTTACTGCCCTTTTCTTTCTGCCATCTTTCTAAGATGGCTCGCTGGGACCTCGCCATAAATTCGCACAGTGAACATTCTCTGGCTCACAGCTTAAGGGACTTTTTGAACCTTTTATGTGCCAATCTTCTAGTGCACGTGCCACTGATAGTTGTCCATTTAGGTAACCGTCATAGATAACACCACCTAGTTTTTCAATTCTTAATCTTTCAGACATGCAATTTGGTTTATGGTCTTTTGAAAGTTCAACTGCTCGGCCGCGTTTGCCTAATACTGCGCACGAATCTCCTGCATTCGCAACCAGCACAACCCTGTAACATAAGAAGTTAACTAAGATTTACAGCTTAATTAAATGTATAGATGGTGCTTAGGTCTTTGACATTACCTTCCCAAGACAATGACTATTAGAGTTGTGGTTCCTAAGGAACTATCAAGTGTACCGGCATCTCTAAATGCATGATCAGCCTTCACAAATGCATTCTTAATTGCCTTCTTATTGCTAGGTGGAAATTGAGAATCTTCAATTATAAAGTTAAACATGTTCTTTTTAATAAATGATGCGGCATCAACACCACCACACCCATCAAATATCTGCATATTAATCAATATTACACAATCTCCATGAGTTTGTTAAAGAATGCAAACAACTGAACGAGGTTACTCAACTTAGAAGAAATATACGTACCCCATAAAATGTCGGTTAAAATGTGTCGGTCCTCTAGAAGAAGCTTTCCAAATGATGTTCCTGATCTTGATACAGGAGTTGACAATGATCTTACTAGGTTCCTTGGAGACAACAACTCCCTGTGATGCAAAATGTCGTTGTCTTGTTCGTGCCTGAAAGATCCTGTTTGTATTTCCGTTTCCTGTTTCGATATTCGTTTGCACAATGTAAAACAGCTTCTGTCTTCTTGTGTCTAACTCTTTGATTGTCAAATGAATGTGATCTTGAGTTCACTTCATAAATGTCATCATCGCGTCTTTCACTTTTTACATTATTTGTTAGCTTCTCTGACAAGTAAGTCCTTGTATCTCTACTGATAAATTCTGGATAATTCGGTCCGTTGAGCTTCACTTTACCTTTGTATGATCTTGTTGATTCCGAGCAGCCCGAATTTGAGTCAGAATCTCTATTCACATTTTCTTTGACTTGCTTTACAATTTGACGAGCAATAAGTTTAGGATCAGATGGTTTTTTATTGCACAATGTATCGATTTCACTTCCTCGAACAGAATAACCTTTTGCGACATTTTTTCCTTGGAGTTCGCATTTTAGACGCTCTTTCACCTCCTCAAGAAAATCTTCTATACTATGTCTCTCTGGTAAAGTTCCTGGTGCATCATCATTCAGTTGGGGTATGTATAAAACCTTCTTCAGTATCATAAGCACCTATGTAACAACATGAAATAACAATATACTAATTATAATTAAAATAATATAATTGGGTCCAACGCATCATAATCAGAATCTTACTACATATCAATAATAATTAATTAATACTAATACTAGTTTATAAAATTGAAAATGTTGACTAGATCAAAAAATTACTTACCTAAATAAACTAAACCATCCGCAAGTGATTGTGAACGTTATAACAACAGAGATTGGAAACAATAAAACAATGGTTAGAAACTCACAAGTATAATAATAATAATGATAAACAAAACATAATAGATCTCTTCATTTTCTCTCACTTATCTTCTCTATTTTTTAATAATATTTTTTTAACCTTGTTTTCCCTTGTTCTGAATGTTGTTCCAAGAACTCTTATCCCAAAGATAAGCTTCAAATCTACCAGTCCACCATGTGTCTCTACAAGCCAGCACATGATGTAGAGCCAACAACTTCAACCATAACCAAAATTTCATTTAATTTAACTGAAACATAACAAATACACTTAAAGTGTACTAAGTTTAAAACTTGCCTGTAGATAGTATTTGCTCTGCTCCTCTGCAAAAGGCTTTGCCAAGGTGCTTATATCAACACCATGACATGCTTTTGTTATTAAAATTGGTGTGTAAACCTGAGAATATAACATGACACATTGCATAGGTTGAAAAATGTGAATCATAGTATATATAAATAGTAACTAGACACATTGCGTAGGTTGAAAAAAATCCTAAACTCAATACTTTATGAGTAACTTTTCTATAATCGAACTTTCCAACCCAAAACCAATAAATACTGAGAAAGAAGTGCCTGTTTCTTCAGCAAAATTATTCACAGCAAAATCTGAGTTGAGAACAGAAACATTAGAAGCAGCAAATTTTTGAATTCTGTTAAATGTTTATAGCAAAAGATATTTCTATGATTTCAGATGATGTGTATGGCATATCAATGTGGAAAAGTTTAGCACCTGTTAAGATAATATGTTAGCATTTGTAAATAAGACTTAGAAATAAACCACCACATGAGTTCTAGGAAGTTTAATACACAATTAATCCTTTGAAAGGGAGCCTGTTAGAGAAGGTAAAAGTAGTTAGCTATCATACCATCTCACCAATTAGAACAACATTCTCCACAAATTACATAAAGACCCATAGGAATGTCACAATATAGATCACCAATAATAATCCTCTCGCAAGCACCCTCAAGAACAACATTAACTACATGTTATTGTTAGGAACTATTAGAAACTAAACTAAAAGCATGTCAAACCATTACATAATTTTAGAAGTTGTTACCAAATTGATCAAAAGAGCGAAATGTCCCCATGAGCTTTCTACCATCTCTTAGCAATATAAGAAGTTTCTCTGCAACAACAATTAATGTAAAGTTCATTCACTTTCTCTGCAGTATCATAGTGTAATTAAATTCTTAACTTAAAAATTCCTTTTAAAACTATTAATGAGAGCTAAGAAGAAAAGAAAAAGAATAGAATTAGTTTACGCTGTACAATTGACAGTAGGAACACTTTATTTATTATTTGGATAGAAACAATTTACTAACCTAAGAACCTAAGTGTAATTTCATAACAATCTGAAAATGAAATTAAAAAAAGTTATCAGAGATAGAGTGAAAGTAATACCTAACAGTTTCATCTTTAACCTTCTTATAGAACTCATTGATGACACTATCCACGCCTATCAGCCAAATTCAAAAACAGTCTCTTCTTCACACCCTATTACATCAACAAAAATTAATAAAAATGGAGAAAATTAAATTCAAGAAAAATCAAAAGAGGAACAAAATATGAACTAGGTGTGGAAGAATAAGAGATCGGGATACTCACTGGAGCTTTGAACTGAGGGAGATTCTACTTGGTTACGACTTCTTCACTCTCAATCATCAAGCACGTCAGATCATACCTAGAATGTTTACCGGAAATGAACTAATGAATATCATACAGTGTAACTAACAAATCAAGCAAAGATAAAATTTGGCTATACAAATTAAGAAACAAGGAAAGTTTCGCCCAATTAATCTTAGAATGGCTGAAAAATAAAACAATTATGTACCTGCATTTCAACTACAGCACTGACAGTTCTTAAGAAAGTGGAAATGCATGATAAAGGAAGGAAGATAAATATAAGACAAGTTTCAATTCTCACTTTATTGAATTAAAAAGCAATACAACATTACTTATTAATACCAACTAGTATAGAATGCATAGGCTGCGGGAAAATGTACATTGAACACAATCACACATAACCATAAATTTCTAATCAAATTCACTAAACAACACATTAGTAAACTAAACATTGTCTCAAGTGCCAACAGTATGACACTTCAATTTCTTAACAAAACAACATCAAGCTGAATAGACTTCTCTTTCAACAAAGACCTTAGAAATTTAATTCAACTTTAGTATCTACTATAAGTGCCAACACCTGAAATTCAAATAGAAAAGAAACATGTTATTACCTTTGCATTTTACTATAAGATGACAAAAACAATTTATAACTCCATAAACAATATTAATGAGTTATTTATGATTCAACTTAAGAATAATATTCTGGTTTTATGTTTCAATTAGGGGGTGAGAGTAAAATTACTTGGTTATAACATCATTAATAAGAAGTATTGAAAATATCATAAATCGCACACCAAACAAAATTTAGAATTGACAATAACTTGATTTGCATACACTAAGGTTCCTAAACACCCAGCTACAACAATGTCTTTTAAACTAACAAATTCTCAATACAAAAAACAGCTTTCTATAGACACAAGGTTGTTTCATTCTATAGACACAGTGACATCCTTTCAACAAATTCAGAAATATTAACAAGATGACTAATGCATGAACTGAATCAGATACAAAAACAAATGAAAAGTATTATTACCTACCATCAAGTGTGCGATGAGCAACGAGGAACTCAAATGGGTGTTTGCAAATTCTATGCCCCAAATTCTAAAACATGTTCACGATTATAGTCATAACAGAATTTCCAGGCACCAACGATAATGAATATGACGGTTTAAGCAATCAATCAACGGTAAAAGAATACAAATTAACTAAAATAAAGATTAAAGAATAAACAATGTACAAATAAAACACAAACCAGTACAATAAAGGAAATTGAACGAACCTGATCTGCAACAACATCGACAAGCTCCAACTCACGATCTCGCCACTTTCTAGCACTATCAGTAGAGAGAATGAGAACCATGATTGCAAAGCTTTTTGCTGAAAGATCAGGAAAATCATTAATTTGGAAATTTGATAAATGCAAAAGTGGCACCCGAACAACAACAACTTCAGGTGGCACATACCTTCCAACAAGAGGTCTTATTCTAGCAAGCGGACAAGTATGTGGTAGCTGCATAGTTCTCGAGCTATTAAAGACTTCATTGACAATAAGAATATTTGTTGGCACAGTAGATCCAACTTGTACATTATAAGTTAAAGTATGAGAGAGTTGCAGATTAAGAACACTTTTAAACGATTTTACAGTCCCTTTATGTCTAAGTGCTTTATATCATGAAACATCAAACATAAAGTTGAAACCAAAGAGAACAATAACCAATTTTCTAGTTCTAATAAAATAGCAGTAACTTATAAGTTACTAACCAACTAATTAGATATAACCTGTGAGAATTTAATTCAACAGCATGGAAGAATCTAGTACAGAACTTATGTCAAACATTTCATGTGCACTTTACATTTTTTCTTCCCAGTTTTGAATTTGTACCACGGTGAATATAATACATTAAGAGAAATATGGATTACACATAAAATGAAAGAGAAAGCAAGCCCAAAATGAGAATTAATTTGTCAAATCTGAAAAAAAAAAACTACTTTTAGGATTAAAAAAAATCATGTGTTAAAATTATTAAAATTTATTTTTTAGAATTAAAAAATATAAAAAATTTGCAACAACTATGAAATCTTAAAAAATATCTTAAATAAGAATAATATGTAATAAAATTATCTTTAAAAAAATAAATCTAAAAAATAAATAAAAAATAATTTTTGACAAAATTTAAACAAAAACTATTAATATTTAATAAAGAAAAAAAAATGTTGTGAAAATTATTTTAAAATAAGTTTGTTTTTATATTATATATATAAATCTAAAAAATCAATATGTCAATTATATTTTACAATTTTATTTAATAATAGTAAAAATATAATTAAATAAATAAACATATATTTTTACAATTATATTTTACAATTATATCATGAACTTATATCTTTGATTTATTTAATTTTAGCAACAATAAAAAATTATTAAATAAATAAACTTATACTTCATAATTATATCATAAACTTATATTTTTTATTTTTCTAATTTTTACAACAATAAAAAAGTATTAAATAAATAATTTTTTTTAAAAAATAACTAAAAAAACTCAATTAATATTATAAAACATTCTTAAGAAATAACTAAGATTTAATATAAAATTAAAAAATGTCTCAACAATATATTTTTGGAATCAATATGTGTTTTATAATTTTATTTATTAATCGTAAAAATATAATAAAAATTAAAAATAAACTAAATAACTCGCAGCAAAAGTCGCAGATACATACAACAAATTCCGCAGCAAACATCGCAGCAATTCCTGCGTTATTTCCAAAGAATTTTGTGATTTTAATGGATAACTAGTTCCTGCGAAACCAATCGCAGTAAAATCCGCAGGAAACTTATATTTATTTTTAAAGCTGAAATCGCAGCTAAAGTCTCAGGAATTCCTGCGAAATTTGCTGCTACTGTATTTTTCGCAGGAAATAATATTTCACAATATGAAGGCGCAGGTGAAGTTGTAGATTTTGCTGCGGAACAATTTTCGCAGGAAAATCCGCAGGTAATCTGTGTATTTCTAGTAATGTACAATCATACTTTTGAGCATAAATTTAGAGAATTCTTTAAGGCACCTTATGTATTTCTTAGACACCATGCAGATTTCCTATAATGCATATAGTTTACAGAGATATATCTCTAAATGCACCCTTTTCTCACTCAAGGAAGGTCATTATGGATGGCGCCCCATGCAATTATTAAAGATTTATTACAGAGATATATCTCCATAACCATTTAGAGAAAACATGAAAATTAATCAGTTTAGTGGATGTTTCAGAGATACGTCTATGAAAGATGTGAGCGGCAATTTGAATTTTCCTATCACCTTTGCATGTCAGATTATCCCAGAGATATATCTCCGAAAGATTCTGATATAGTTTCAAGTTGCATGATCAGTCCCCTCATTATTGTCATTCTTCATTTGAACTCTAACCCTTACCCTAAAAATCCTACATTCTCAATCTCATTTTCACTCCAAATCTCCATCACTTTGGTTCAACATATCACAGGGAGCAAAAGAAGATTGAATTTTAGGTAAAGGTTGTTCATTTTCTTATGCATTTCTCACATTAATCATGAAACTTTATTGAAAAGAAACTTACACAGTGTTCGGAGATGTATCTCTAGAACGTACTGAACATGAACTTTTCCGGAGATATATTTCTGGAATGTTTTTGTGTTCATTTTCCATCCTTTTCTGCAGCAATAGATTAATTATTTTTACTGTTTTTATTGTTTCCAATGGATATGGTGCACCCCGATAATATCTCGAAATAAGTAGTTTCTTCGAACGAAGTTTCTTCGAATGTTCAAGGGATTGTTGTTAAGGCAGTAGATATTCACAATGGATTTAATTACAAGCAAGAGTTTAAAAATTGTGATAACATGCTCAAATGGATTTGTATGGTGGCATCTAGACTTGGATTTGGTATGGTCATGGAAGTTCGGATAATGGCTCGGATAGAAGAAGCGCCTCTATGACTATGTTGTGCGAAAGAAGCGGGAAATATCAAACTCCTCTCCAGAATTTTAAGAGAGAAGACACGGGTAGTAGAAAATGTGAGTTTCCGTTTAAGCTTTGTCGTTACATGTTGGCTAGAAAAAAATGGATATTTAATTTCATGTGTGGTGTGCATAACCATGATTTGTGCTTAAAATTAGTCGGACATCCTAGTGTATGTCGGCTCAAGCCAGAGGAGAAGGTATGTATTAGTGATATGACCTTGAATCTTGTCCAACCGAAAAATATACTTGCAATATTAAAACGGAAGCAAACCGACAATATATCAAACATCAAGCAAGTGTATATCATTCGGTACCTCTCTAACAAGGTGATTAGGGGAGATAAAACTGAGATACAACAACTGTTGAAACTCTTGGACGATAGTAGTTACGTGTCCCAGTACCAAACTTGCGATAATGGAGTTATGGTTAGAGATATTTTTTGGACTCATTTGAATTCGATAAGGTTGTTCAACGCGTTTTTGACAGTGCTCATACTTGATTCTACCTACAAGACCAACAAGTATAGACTTCCATTATTTGAGATGGTTTGTGTTACCTCAACCGAGAAGACATACTCCGTTGGTTTTGCATTTTTAGAGTGTGAAAAAGAGGACAATTTTACTTAGGCATTAGAGGTGTGTCAGTCACTTTTGAAGGATCAAGGTGAAATGCCTAAAAGTTATTGTTACGCACCGCGATATCGCATTGATGCATGCAGTTACAAAGGTGTTTCCTTCTTCTTATGCATTACTTTGTAAGTATCATATAACAAACAATGTGAGAAGTTGGGTTAAACTCGCGGTAGGGACGAAACAAGTAGAGTCTGAAGGTGGAAAATTGGTGAAGTCGGGTGTGATTGTGAAAAAATAATGGATGCACGGAATCGCATAATAAATTCTTCCATAAAAGAATTATATGCCGATTTCGTCATTCATTTATGAAAAGTGTGTGAAAAGTATCCGACTTTGTTGAAATATGTTGAAAGCACTATTCTTGATCAGATGAAGGAGAAGATAGCTTGCGCGTGAACTGATAATGTCAGACACCTTGAAAATACAACCATCAACAGGGTTGAGTCGGCCCATGCTACTTTGAAAATTGGTTGGAAAATAACAAAGGGGATTTGTGTCGAGATTGGGACTCGGTGAACCACATGATTCAAAACCAACATAATGAGATACAAACAACATTTGGTCGGAGCATCACAATTTATAACACTGATTCAAAGACAATATTTTTTATTTTCATTTGGTCGACAACATTTCTCGGGCGGGGTTGAACTATATTTTTCACGAGGCCAAACGAGCTGATAATGTAGGCTTCGATAGTGCAGAGTGTGATTGCATTATTGTAAAAACATATGGTCCCCCATGTGCTTGTGTTATTGCTAAAAAAGTGAAACTTGGTGAGCCAATAAGAATGGACGAGGTTTGCTCTCATTGGAAGAGACATAGTTTCGATGATGATGGATGCATGGATGAAGGTAAATTGAATATCTCTATTTTAATCGAATGAGAAGCGATACAAGAGAGATTTTCGAAGGCGCCGATGACAACATGAAACTCCATATCAAAGAACAATCGAGGAAAATTGCCTATCCTGAAACCACGGACATGAGACCGCCTTCTTAACCGGTAAAAACAAAAGGTGCTCAGAAGAAAATGAAGCATACACCGAATGACAACTCGACTACACAGTCTCCTTCATACTTTGAACATATTGACAAAGTATTTCTCGACTCACCGACTCCAAAATCTCAAAAAAGTGTTGTTAAAAGGTGCTCGAATTAGCAAACCACCTTTGGCGCCGCTTCCACCGAAGATTTCATTCATTAACGAGATGCTGGTTTTTATGCACAAATATATTGATTGTGTCGTCAATATTGAGGGAGACGGTAATTGCGGTTACCGAGCCATTTTAGTTTTACTTGGTAAAGGAGAAGATAGACATGCACTAGTCTGTCATGAACTTATCCAAGAGTTGAAGACGCATAAGGAATCATACATGCGGTTATACAGAAAAACAATTGATGTGGTTTATGAGTCACTTGTTCCTTGCTTAAGCGGTCCAGCACCAGAATCAAAATGGATGAGCTTCCCGGATATGAGCCACCTAATTGAATTTGCATATGATAGGGTGTACATTGACCTGACATGCTATGGGCTTTTGAAAACCTTTTTTCCACTGTGCACCCGCCACCCCAAAATCCAAATGATTGTGTCACGTGTATTGGATGTCTTTCAAAATCAAGTCATTTTGTTTAGGTTTACTTGAAACCGGGATGCACCATACCATCTACATCATCGGAATGGACGAATCATTCAACTGCAAATGTCGAGAAGTGGCTGAATCATTTTATAGAAAGGATGCAAGAATTCAATAGATTGAACAACATTGAAAGAGAATGGAATTTACAAAAGTCAAATGGGGTACCACCTATAGATTTATTCGACGACATATGTTTTGATTCGTTTTGATTTTTTTTGTAATCGGAAAAATAATTGTTTATAAGTGTGTCTCAATATAAATGAAGTGTTACATAATCACTTATTATTCATATTTGATTTTTATGCATGTTTGGTTCATATTTGGTGCATATTTGGTCTTTATTAACTCTCTGTCATATAATTGTGTTTTAAAACTGTATCAGGAAAAGTTTTGATGATGTATCTACGTAAGGTTCTTTTATTTGCTTTGTTTTTTAATGGTTCAAGGAAAGCTCCAGAGATGCATCTCCGGAACAAGATAATGGAGTGTCATTTTAGAGATATATATTCAGAGTACGAATGACAGTCAATAAGTGTCCTTTATTGAACTAGGTCTTCTATAAATTTGGGTGTTCTTGTGTTAGACTTCACACAAACTCAAAATATCTCAAATGTGTGAAATAAACATTCGTTGGTATGTCACAAGTATCTCCTACTCTGACGCCTCTACACCTAGGAGGATGTTAAAGCTCACCGATCTCACCCCATTGACAATATCATAGACGAAATCCATTATATTCTACCTTATGGAGACACACGAATGATTGCCAAACTTGAATATCGTTCACCCTCGGTTGACAACCAAGGGAACATTGTGTTTAGCAAATTTGAGCTCAAGACTCAAACGAATGTTATAGCGATGTGGCGAACATTTTTTGGTTTTTAAGATAAAGTTCCGCTCGAGTTGGAAGTGACACTGCAAAGATCGATCGATGATATATTGGAGATGTGAAAGCGTCCACCGGGATATTAAAATGTAGTATTTATTTTTTGTTGAAATCATCATTGTAATTCTAATTTTATATTATGAATGCTCACTTTATGTTTGGAAAGTTCATCTTGGGTTGTTTTTGTGTCTGGTTTTGTTCCAGAAATATAACTACGGCATGGGTCCGGAGATATATCTCTGGAATAAATCTTTAGCAGAGACACGAGGATCTATCCATAATGGCCTTCCTTGAGTGTGTAAAGGGTGCATCCAAAAATATATCTCTGGAAACTATAGGCAGTATAGGGCATCAGCATGGTGTCTAAGAAACACATAAGGTGTAAGAAATTCTCTAAATTTAAATGTTGAGGCCCATAATATAGTTGACATTGAGAAAATGATTGGCTCCAGGACTTGACTGGGTTGCATCCTATCAGTCGAAATTGACTTTTTTTTTATGATTTATATTGTTTTTTCTTAAAAGAAAAACTTGAATTAAAAAAAAACAAGATTCATATAATATTTATATTTATAAGATTAAAATCTTAAAAACATGAATAAAAAATGATGTTTTTTATATTTTCTTTATATTTATTATCTATATGCTGTAGAAGAAAAAATTTATTGCACTTTATTTTAAATAAGATTCTCAATACAAAATGGCTTACAATAAAAAATCATAGAAAAAACGTGATTTTGTTTTACTAGATTAAGAGCAACATGATTTTTGTAACTTTGTGTATATTCAATTTTGACTCTTTAAATTTCTCTGCTTGGTTTTGGTTCCATATATTCAATTTTTTGATTTTAATCCCTCAATTTTACTCATTTTTGCATTTGATTTAATAGTCCCCAATGACATGTAGACCAAAATTTTCTTATGTGACATTTAAAAAATTAAACCACGACTGATGTGGTATAAAGAAAATAAAGTGGTTGATGTAGCAAAAGTCTATTGATACTTGTTTTCTTCTATTTTTGTTACTTATTTTTCTTTCTAATTTCTTCTCTATAATTATATTTTTCTTCTTCTTTTAATTAGTTAGGTTTTGAACATAATAGCTTAAATTTTTTAAATATTTCATTCAACACACGCCTAATGACTAATTATTTTGACAACAAAAAAGATAGACATCGTTGGATATTAGACAAGACTATGTATTATTTTATGTTAGGTTTGTCTTTTTTTTTAGATTTTCATTATTATTTAGAGGGTCTTGATATAGCCCCCTCTCTTTTTGTGTATCAGTATTTCTTTTGAAACATAACTAGTCTTTTATTAATAAAAAACATAGTTAAAATCACAGTTAAAAAAAAAAGATGTATCTTAAAAATAATCTTTATGAAAAACTATTTGAGATGACTTCTAATTTATGTGTTTTTTTTTTTTGAAAATTTGATATCTAGAAAAGTTATACCAAGAGGATAAAATACCTAAATTAACATGTTAGAATAAATATTTAAATTGATTTTTCTATTTAAACTTTTGAAAAAATTTCTTTATAAAATTTTTAAAACAAAAATGTATAACAATGTGAAAATGATTTTAAAAAAAAAAACTGAAACAAACGGGTCTTAAACCACATGCAACAAATAACATGTACACAAGGTATCCTAGATAAATCATATCTCCTACACGCATATGTCTTGTCTTGATCAATTCCATTTGACATATAAAAGATGGATTAATTCAAGCTTCCATACCACATTGGACTTCAAATGTCTACTTTTATTTATTTTTTAATCTTTTCCAACCTCTTTTGTATTATATAGGACATATAGTTCCCTCATACAATGAATATTATGTTTAAAGCTTAACAAATTAAAAAGAGAAGAAAAATAGAATCGTAGAAAAGAAAAGGCTAAATTACTCCAGGGATCCTTTAAAATATTTAATTGTAAGAGGTTTATCCTTTAGGTTTTTTTTTGTTGCAAATGTCAGTACTTTAAGTTGTATAACGTCTACAACATTGGTCATTTTTAATTAATTCATTCCAAAAAAAACTCAACTGTCACTCACGGTGCTTATGTGGTATGTTACGTTGCTGACGTGGTTGTAACTTTACTAAAATGTAATTGTTGGTCCTTAACATTTATGTAATCAAACAAAATCCTATATTTTAAGATTAATAAATCCTAAAGTGAACCATAATTAGAGAAACTATGCACATACGAGATGTTGCAAATGAAAGAGATGATGAATGCAAAAAGGAGATGAAGTATTTGTGGGAGACGAAGTGAGATAAGAAGATTTGAACGTTAAGGTAAGTAAATGTATTCGATTTCTACATCTTACTTTTCTTTTTTCCTTCAAAAATGTATTGATTTATTGAGGTATGGGTTTTGTATGTGTCCCTTATATCACCTATTGCTTTCTACAACTTATTTTTCTGCCAAAAATGGATGTTTTTTATGTTGATTTTCATCATGG